GGACCTGGGGATTACAGTGGACAATAAGCTGAATATGAGCCAACAGTGTGCCCTTGTTGCAAAGAAGGCTAACAGTATACTGGACTTCATTAGTAGGAAAGTTGCCAGCAGGTCCAAGGAAATAGTTTTTCCCCTCCGTTCAGCACTGGTGAGGCCACATCTAGAGTACTGTGTTCAGTTTTGGGCCACCCACACTTTAAAAAAGGATGTGGGCAATTGGACAGAGTCCAGCGGGGGGTGACAAAAATGGTGAGGGGGCTGGAGGACATGACTTATGAGGAAGACTGTGAGAACTGTGTTTATTTAATCTAGAGAAGAGGAGACTGAAAGGAGACTTAATAGCAGTTTTCAACTACCTGATGGGTTCAAAAGAGGATGGAGCTAGGCTACTCACAGTGGTGGCAGATGACAGAACAAGGAGCAAAGGTCTCAAGTTGCAGCAAGGAAAGTTTAGGTTAGATATGAGAGAGAATTTTCTCACTAGGAAGGTAGTAAAACACTGGGACGGGTTACCCAGAGAGGTGGTGGAAGCTCTATCCTTGGAGATTTTTAAAACCGGGCTAGACAAAGCTTTGGCTGGGGTGATCTAGTTGGGTATAGTTCTGCTTTGAGCAGGGGGTTGGACTAGATGATCTCCTCAGGTCCCTTCCAACCCTAACTTTCTATGATTCTGACCCTGGCAGTAGGCAGCTGCCAGGGCAGAGGACAGATGGGAAACAAGTAGCTTCCCAAGGGAGGGGAGAGTTCTTTCCCCCTGCTACCTGGACTGATCAGGAGAAATTTGCTCCTGATCAGCTATGTAACCATAGTAAATCTACTACCTGTCTTTCCAGTTAGTAGAAAACTGCAGTAGACTAATCTACTGCAGAGTAGCTCCTGTGCACAGTTACACAGTAATGCTTTACTGTGCAGTAGATTAGTCTACCATGCAGTAAATTGTGTCCTGTAGACACACCCAGAAAGGACATTAATTTTTCTTTCCAGGCCCATCTTTCAATTGTGCTTCAGTGATTTCATAATTGTGAGATTCCCTTTTGACTGGCCTTGGTCTTCTATACAACTAGGGTGTCTGTTCAGCTGCATTTTCATTTTTTTGAAACTGCTTCTGATCATTTCACTTTTTTGAAACTGCTTCTGCTTTCATTTACCTGGAGGTAAAAGTAAACCGTGTTTCTCTGTTATCTAGCTTAGGCTGTGTCTACTTCTTTCCCAGATCTAAAGAATGGTGCTTTATGCCCAAAAGTATGTCTAACATTTGGTTGAATAAAAGATACCATACAAAAAAACCTTTTGCCCCTTCTTAAGTTTGCTTATTTATTTTCAGTGCATCTGCCCTTTTATTTAACAGAATCTCTACAGCTTGTTTCTTCCTAAAGACGATGAAGAAATGAAAATCCTCCCCCAATGGCCTCTTCTACTAAATTACCATGACGTTATGTCACAGCGGCTGCACCTCTTAAAGGTATACTTCTGTGTCTTATATCAGCAGTCTTAAAGTCTACAGGCAGTGAATATTAATACACTTGAAAGGACAGAGGGGTCATTAATTCAGAGTACTGTTTCAACAACACAGAGTAGAAGAGCCCAAACTTTGTCCACTTGATGGCAACTTTAACCACATATCAAAAGTCTAAGGATCATCCAGAACAGATTGAAGCCACCCAGGGATAATGCAGATCCTGGCATACAGTGCACCATGTTAATCTTCAGATGTTTCTACACCATGGACAGTCCTGAGCATGTTCTGCCTATCCTATCTTACATTGACAAGCCAAACCTGGAACTATAGTGGTGAAACCACTCTGGAAGCATCTGGGGTAAATCTATGAAGACATGGGGTTGCAGTCTTACCCTGCTCCATTCAGCCACTGCCCCATCCCTGGCTGACCTCAGGGGAGCTCCAGGGCTGCTTCTGCCCTGCTCCAACCATGGGCCATGGCTGTGCAGAGGCCAGGCTCAGCAAGGGATAGCAGCAGTAGTATGCAGGTTCTGTCTTCCAGCACCTGCTCACTGCCTATCACTCCCTCCACAAAGTGTCCCACATTGGCTAGGAGCAGGCATTGGAAAGAGAAACCTGCATGCTGGCACTGCTGTCCCTAGGTGGTGCAGGAACAGGTGGAGCCCCAAAGCCTCTCTTAACCTGCTCCAGCTGCAGGTTGCAGAAGTAGCTACACAGAATGTTGAGCTCAGCTGGAGAAAGCATCAGTGGCATGCAAGTTCCTCCTTCTAGCACCTGCTCCTAGCTAGCAGGGTACACCTAGAGGAACAGGGAGTGGGCAGAGAGCAGGTACTGGAATAAGCAACTGCTTAAGCAGCAGCATCTCAGGTAGACAAACAGTTACAGTCGATATCAGAGCAGTCCTTCCCCACTCTTCCCCCTCCGTCTCCTTACTTAAGCAGTCCTTGTCCAAGCCCAGCACCCTGTGCAGATGCTCCCAGTAGTCCATGGCTGGAGAAGGACAGGTGAAGCTCTGGGACTCCCCCTACCCCCAGATCAACCAGGGACAGCTGCAACTGTGCCAGGCATGATCCTCCCCCACTACCCCCACCCATGTACATCTGCTCCCTGCCTGACTCTTCAGTGTTGCCTGCCAGCCAAGGGACTCCAGCAACACCTCACCCCAATCTCCTCCTGATCTGAGGGGCAGTGTGCTGCACCCCATTTTAGGAAGTCCTGAATTGAGCCATGGGAGCGTTCCATCTCAAGTACACTGAAACAGGTCTTGAGTGGTCTGGGCATAGTGCTTAGCATCCTTGAGTGCAATCTCCATGTAAACAATAAGATGGTCTATGTTATAGGGCTGTGCGAAACAGCACCATTTCGTTTCAACTTCTGTTTTGCCATTTCTATGGGACAGTGTTTCATTTTGAGTTTCATTTAGTTTCGAAAGCACTGTTCTGTTTTGTTTAATTGAAACTGGTTCGCTGTTTTGATGCTGTTTTGACATTTTGTCCATAGGCTATAACGGGGAAGCATGAAACTGCCTGTAACTTTGCTATTTTTGGCAGATTTAGATGAAAACAGCAGGGATGTTAGACACTTCTGAGGGCATGAAGTCTGCCAAGTTTCAAGGAGATAGGTGTAGAGGTTTCTGGGAAACTGCAGCTCAAAGTCTTGAAAGCAAAACTCATGTCACTTGTAAGTGTGAAAGCACAATGGGGTGAAAACAGCAGGCACGGTAGCCCCTGCTGAGGCCACAAAGCCTGCCAAGTTTCAAGGATATAGGTACAGGGATTTCTACAAAACTTCACCTCAAGCTGCTGATGAGTAAAACTTGTCGTGTGTGTGAAGGCACAGTAGGGTGAAAACTGGAGACATGGTAGCCCCTGCTGAGGCCATGAAGCCTGCCAGGTTACAAGTAGATAGGTGCAGGGGTTTCTGGGAAACTGTATCTCAAGCTACTGACAAGCAACACTCTTGACATGTGACTGTGTGGGTGTGTTAAGGTGCGCCCTCATTGGTGCTGGGGCCTCTACATGACATGGTAGTGTTCCCCAGTGAGGTTTCCTCCTCCCCTACAGCCTCAGCCTGGTCCACCACTTTAAACAACAGCAGGTAATAACTTAGTAAGCAGCACCAGCAGCATCTCAGGTAGCCAAACAGTTACAGTCGATATCAGAGCAGTCCTTCCCCACTCTTCGCCCTCCCTCTCCTTACTTTGTTTCCCTGCAAGGAAGCCCAGCTTCAGCTTCAAAATATGAAATGTTTTGAAACTTCTGAAACATTTCTACTGCCCTCATTTTGTTTTGTTTCACGCTCAAAATAAGTCAAAACAGTGTCCAAATGAAACAGCCAGCACAATTTCGCACAGCCTTAGTACATTATAGTTTCATAGTTTTTATGGGCTGGAAGCGACCTTGCAGATCATCGGGTAGAGCCACCCTACACTTGGGCAGGAAAGACCGCTGGGATCAGATAACCCTAGCAAGATGGGCATTGAGGGAGCCTGTACACACCATGGGGTTTAATCCTCGTTAAACTAAATAGATTTATAAAATTTAAACTTGTTTATTTTGGAGCATTGCATCAGTGTTTGCATGCACTAGGTTTTCAAACAAATTAAGCTTTGAAGTGTCATATCAGTGTTTGCATGCACTTGGTTTTTGAATGAATTAAGCCCAGTCCCTAGCTGGTGCTGCAGGAGAGCAAGATGGTCCAGTGCTTCCCTCCCACCCCCGGCCCAGGGCCCTCCACCCCATGCCCTGCCATGCAACTGTGGGAGCACAGAGCCAGCACATGGCACAAGAAAAAGAAAAAAGCGAAGCAATTTAAAGGGGTGAACTACAAAAAATTTGGAGTGCCATCTGGTGGACAAAAAGGCTCATTACATGTCTTTGAGTGGCTTTGTGTTTGCACGCAACTAATCCATGGACAAGATGCTTTAATTTGTGGCGAGCCAAACTAAACTACATCTGAGGAGTTTTACTTTAATGTGCCAGAAAGACATTTAAAGTGTCCAGAATACCCTCTCTTGCAAACAGTCATGCTGTTGCACTGCAAGAAAGGGCAAAAACCATGGTGTGTACAAAGGCCCTAAGATGCTTTCTGAAGATTACCAGGGTGGGTGACTGAGCCACCTCTGGGGTGAGCCCATTCCAAACCCTCAGTACACAACTTGTAAAGAAGTTTTTTCTTATGTCTAGTCTGAAGCTATCTTCAATCAGCTTGTGCCCGTTATTTCTAGTCCTCCCTTGGAGGGCCTTGCTGAACAGATGCTCCCCCAGGCCCTGATGTACTCCCCTGATATACTTATAGGCTGTCACCAAGTCCCCTCTTAGTCTTTTCTTCTTCAGACTGAACATTCCCAAGCCTTTCAGCCTCTCCTCATATGACCAGGTCTCTAGGCCTCTAATCATGCACATGGCCCTTCTTTGGACTCTTTTGAGCTTCTCCACATCCTTCCTGAAGTGTGGCACCCAGAACTGGATGTAGTACTCCAGCTGCAGTCTCACCAGGTAGAGCAGAAGGGTAACATCTTTAGGTTAAAGACTTTAGCTTTGCTCGAGATGCCTCAGTAGATGCATGCCAGTGTTTGATTAGCTCTGCCAGCTATGGCATCACATTGGTGGCTCGTGTTCATTTTGTTGTCTATCATGAGAACAAAATGAAATGTTGTGGAACCTTATGGCACTTCATGGAACTTTGTGGGTTCTGCTTTGGACCACAAGTTTATTACTCTGAAGAAACCAGATCAGGCATTGAGATGCTTTAGTGATAAGTGCAGTGAATAAACTAGAATAGAATAGAATAGACAAACACAGTATTCAGCATAAAAAGACACCTCTTTATATAGAATTAGTTCTTTGGGGTTTTAGAATTCATTTTAAGTGAAAATTGGAAGCAGATTGAAGTTGTCAGATAGTGAAGGTATTCCAACAGAAGGCAGATAGTATGGTTGGCTGGTGAAAGAGGAAGATACTTTTTAGCAGAGACACATTCCTTCAGTACATGGTGGACACTAACTTTAGTACCAAATCAGTCTGCACACTGCATTAATGCACCTTAGACACATACCTGTATCACTTTAATGTGCGTTAGACCAATGCACATTCCATTTAGGCACGTGTAAAAACGTGTAGACATACCCAGTGAGACTGAATTTTATGACCTCTCTCTTGTGGAGGCTGCCACTATAGCTAATAGTGTAGATCAGATAAGATTATGTGGAAGAAAAAAGCTAATAAAGGAGTATTCTTTGTATTCTCACAGATTACATCAATACATAATTTTAATATTCCAGGAAATTTTCAGTTTCTGTTTAATAATGGCAAATGGTCTTTGTGATTTTAACAAACATCTATTAATTTTGCCTTCTGTCAGCTATTCTCTTTTCTTCCTACTAAGTTACCACTCCCCCACAATGAAGAGAATAGAAAAACAGCTCATTTCATCTTCTACTTACACTGATTTAGTAAGAAGTATAAGCATTTGCTATGCTTAAGCATGTGCTTAAGTCCCACTGACTTCAGAGTTAACACATACTTAAATGTTTTGCCTTATATTTTAAATTAATGCTGAGAAATCCTTTGTTATGAAACTCTACCTTGTTTTTTAAATTTCACTCCTTGCTCCAGGTCCAAGAGGACTTAAATCCAGAAAAGATTGAAAAGAAAATGATGGACAAGCTTCCACTTGTGAAACTTCTTCAGTTCCCCCTTCCTTCACCTGGGAACAACACTAAACGTTTGGCCAGAGTCCATGGGCTCATGCATTATTGTACCAATGGTGAATTCTCTTTTCTGTTGCTGTTTTGTTGTTGTTTAAGGATAGATTCCTGTGAGATAGTGGGAACCCATTCTTTGGGGGGAAAGTTTTTGATTTTTCCAACTAAAACTACCTCTGTACTAGCCAGTCGTCACCAATTCCCATTCTTTGGAATGTAGGAATGCAGGATTGGAAGGCCCACTGATTCTATTCCCCTGCATTCACAGACAGCTTTGCCCAGAAAGGTCTACAAAATAGCCTCATAGGTTTTCTAGTAGGTGCTCTGTGGCTGTGGCATGCAAGAGAAACTAAGTGTCACAGAAAGAAAGCAAGTGAGATAAGGGCGCCAATAATATTTATGCTATTGTAATAGCGGGAGATTTGTAATGGCAGGTATTCACAATACACTATCAGATGGACCATACTCCATGCTGTAAAGGAAGGCAAAAACAGAGTAAACAAATTTACTCCACAGCAGGATAGTACTTGTAAATTCGAGTACTATCCTGTTATGGAGTAAAAAACTGCAGCAGCACATGTGTCAATGCTGCCTGGCTGGCTGAAGCACAAGGATACTTCAGAGTGGGGATTGCATGCCAGCTAGCCCCACACTGAAGCTCCCTTGTGCCCCAGCCAGCCTTCCCCATCACATTGAGCCAGGGAGAGCAACCTTGGGCTGGCAGGCTGACCCCCAGGGCTTTCTACCAGCCAGGGCTGCTGTGCCTTGGCTCCACATGTTGTGCCTGAATAAACCACAAAGTTTATTGTTCCAGAGTTAATTGCTCCCCGGCACACATTCAAATGGTATGCCCAGGAGCTATTAATTCCAGAGCAATAAGCTACGCAGTTTATTCAGGTGCTGTAAATTGTATGTGTAGATGCACCCCCTGAATAATAAACTCATCTTCCTCTGTATTGGCAATACTGCCTAAATTTATGTGACCAGTAAATTTTGTAAGGACACATCTGGTTCTTGCACCAGAGTCAGTGATGAAAATACTTAATTAGATATGCCCCAAGACTTAAACAACACCACAAGTAGCCCCTCTCCTCTTAAAGTATAACTGGGGACGTACTTAATTCACAGTTCTTTGGATTTTGCAGAAACCACAAAATCAACACAAAAAAACCTTTAAAATAAAAGTCTGGCTCCCCAGTGGGAGCCAACAGTCCTCACTGCCAGGAGGGGAAGGCACCAGCTAGTGGTGTGACATGAAGGGCAGCAGAGAAGATGGCAGTTGCCCCCTCATCCCTTCTACCCCCTGCCCAGGGTTTCTCCACCAGTCAGCACTGAAGAGTGGAGTCTCTCCATTAATGAGCACCAAAGGGTGGAGCCACCATGAAATGACCACAGAATTAGAGCTTTGGGCTGTGAAAATTGGTAAATCCACCTGCCATTTAGATAGACCCCTAAGTATAACCTACCCGCTTAGCCAAGTCTTTATCTACTATAAAAGTATGGTATTAATCCCCATCTTCTCCATTCCAGCTAGTAGTTTCTCGTGAGGCACGGTATCAAATGTCTGGCTGAAATATAGTTTGATTAGCCAACTCTGTTACCCTCATCTTAGAGTTTCTTTAGTTTCTCAGAGTTTCTCTTTTGGAAGTCCAAAGTCCTAGTTATGGACACTATTGTCTATACCAGGGGTGGGCAAAATGCGGCCCATGGGCTGAACGCAGCCCACCAGACCATTCTATCCGGCTCGTGGGGCCCCTAAAAAGTTTAGAAAATTAATATTTATCTGCCCCTGGCTGCCTGTCATGCAGCCCTTGACAGCTTGCCAAAACTCAGTAAGTGGCCCTCTGCCCGCAATAATTGCCCGCCCCTTGGTCTATACTGTAAAGTATACTGAATTGAATCAGTTCATGATCACCCAATATAAGATTATTTTCCATAACCAGCCCTTTTGTAAAATCCACTTGTTCACACCCTAATCTAGCATGAAGTTTTGGCTAATCCAAATGTCAGTTTCTAGATTTTGAGCAAACCAGTTACAATGCTTGTCTGAGACCAAAGGACTGAGGCCTGGATCTTGACAGTGTCAGAACTCACAGGTTATGTAGGTTTGCTATTGAGGTTAAAAGAGGAAAGGCAAAAAATGCTAATCACAAGAACTTTCATGCCAATCCAAATGCAGATAACAGAGTTTTGAAACCACTGAGATATATAGTGCAATAACTTTTGGACTGAGATAAAGCTTTATGTTGATCAACAAGCATTACTTAAAAATAATGATGGCTGTCAAATTGCATTCCCTTTGAGATTCTTGCATTAATAGTACAACAGCTTTTACAGTAGTCTTTTATTCAAATATGCAAGTTAAGCTTATTTCTCCATCAAGAACTGTGGTCTCCTACCCTATTTGTGTGTGCAAGAATGATGTGCAGTGTGAAACAATTAGAAAAGCCACATGAAATGCATTCTAGAGTCTGCATGTTCACACAATGGCTACACAAAATAAAAAACTTCCCTGCCCCCCCAGTTCCTTTCCTACTGTCATTGGGCATAGATCTTGGAACTCTTTTTACTTGCTGCCATTTTCTGCAGACACATTATGCTTTGCTTGAAATTAATATACACTAATTATATTGCTTTTAGTTGTCAGCATATACGTAATAATTATTACTAAGATGCAACTTTTTAAAAAATGCTTCATATTTGTATATGGTACCAGCCAGTAGATATCAGTTCTGGTGGCATTCAGTGGACTACACCATAGCGGAGAGCTTTCCTTCAAGTTAATGTTTTTGGCCATTTCTCTAATTTTGGATTCAGATAGGAAATAAGAAATAGATATGGTAAATTTAGATTGGTTACCAGGAAAAACATCTTCCCTGTTAAAGCAGTGAGGCAGTAAAATAGACTGCCTAGGGGAGTTGTGGAATCTCCATCACTGGAGGTTTTCAAGAACCTATGTGTGCTGTAAAGGGCAACAGTTGGAAGCTCAGAACTTCCCTACCCTTGCCCCCTACACTCCACACACATACTGCTAGGACTAAAAACAGACAACTGGCTTGGTTCACATTTCAGCTTCTTGTCTTGCACCAAACTGTAACTCTCCCAGACTTACAAGTCCATTATCCCACATTAAGTACCAGTGAATTATTCAAATGAATTTGACTTAATTGCTATTTAAGTCTAGTATATAAATAGTTGAGCCTGTCCTAATTAGGGCTGCATCAAACCAGTTGTTTGTTTTTAGCTCATGGGATCTTAAGAAGAGCTCTGAAACCCAGAACATGTGAATGTTGGAGGGGACAAGCTCAGCAGCAGGAAAATGAAGCAGAGCTCCACAACTGACTTAGGGTGCCTCCAGATGTTAGGGTCATACTCTAACTTATGGCACTTTATACAAAACACCATGAGTTAGAGCTCGCTGCCCCACCCCCCATCCCCAACCCAACAGGGGTTGAGGGGGGTGGGGCAAAATCAAGCCTGCCTGTATCAACCCTGGCCAGCAGGCGGGGGCACTGCAGAAGCCTGAACTACCTCTGTTCCCAGCCCTGCACTGCCTCCAGGTGACTGTTAGCAGGGGAGGGAGGGGGAAGAGAGCAGGAGGGAGCTGCCTGCTGGCTTTGTCCTGCCACAGCTGGCAGACAAGGGAGGGCTAGACGGGAGCTCCCTCGCTTCATGGGTGATCGGGATAGTTCTGACTTAGAGTTGGACCAGATGACCTTTGAAGATCCCTTTCAACCCTACTTTTATACATTTCTTTATCCAGTGTTTTCAATATGTATGAAAAGCTTTTCAAGTAGCACTGTGTAATATATGCCAGTTTTAACAGTGCTAATTCAGTGTGTAATTTCAGTCTTTTAGAATTCAGGAAATTGGATTCCAGAAAGAGACAAGTTAAAGTAAATTATTATCACCATTATATTCCTTGTCAGGCTTAGCAGAGATGCCAAGGACAATACACCTAGTTAGTCTGCTGTTCATCTTTTACTGAACAATAAGGACACTTTCTATGAATGGTTTTAATTTTCTTGCAGAACTCTTGAGTTGGGCTGAAGTAGAAAGAGCCTTCAAAGTGTTTACTTTTGAAAGCCTGAGGCTGACTGAGCTTGATGACTCTGGTCTACTGGAGAGTTCAGGATTGATGCTTGGCGGTGATTATGAAGTATCTTATATCCCATGGGATAATCCAGCCAGGTTTGCAAAACAGCTGAGACAACTACCCACCATGGAAAATGCTCCTGATGAGAAAATTCCTGAAGGCTCAGGTATGGCACATCTATTAATGTTACTCTGGAAGGCCAAGTACAGACAGTCAGAAAGCCCTAGGCTGAATCAGTTCAATCTTCTCAGGTTAGTCTAAGCTGCATTAATTGAACCAATAAGCAAGTAAACAGACATTCATTTGCAATCCCAGAAATGCAGCCACATACCTGCAGTGGCCCAGGCCAGAAACCAAAGGGTGCTAGAGCACACTTTCCCACTCATCTGGAGCAGACAGCTTGGGCCAAGACTAGCCCACCGACCCCAATGGGGGTGGATTTCCAGTGGAGGTGCAAAGCATCCTAGGATGCTGGGGGACTGTGAGTTAACTTGAATCTAAAGGGGATCTGGGACAGAAGTTCAGTAAAACAATTTAATCTAAATCAGTTAAGTCTGATACTATAACCATCCAGGTTTATCTTAGACTGGTTTTGGACATTTTGAAAGTGGTTTATGTGCACTGAACTTCTCTTATGTTACAGATTTGAACTGGTTCCAGTCATTTATACCAGTTTGTGTAATTCCGGTCCCTAGCTGAAGATTTTAAACAAGCTATTTTGTACGTTTTTTCTTTTACATGTTGTGGTGGGCCAGTAGGGGCTGCTCCTGCATTGAGCCACCCGTCTCACTATGCTGGACCACCTTCCAGGCTCCAAGTGCCTCCCTGGGGGCACCTCACATCTGGCCGACCCCCTTCCTGGAGCACACCCACTAGCCTGGGGGTAACATTGCCACCACCCAGGGATGGGCTTAATTCTGGCTCTGCGCACCCTGGGAAACACAGGCCTAGTAGCCCTCGAGGGTACTTGATTCACTTCTAGAACTCGGGATGCTTCCCTCAGTCAGAAGCACCAGTAGTGGTCTCCCTTAGTCAGCCAAACCAAGGGGACCCCAAGGCATAATCTAGACCCACTCCCAATAAGTCTTCCACACTAGGTACAAAGGAGAACTTTATTGGTTACAAGGGGTAGGGTTGGAATAGGATACAGGGTAGAGCAATATCAGAAATCCCATAGAGCAAACTGGCATGGCTGGGTAGCCTTTGATCACACATCTGAGTTACTGCAAACTATATATCTAGTTAGATCTCAGGTAGCTTACTCACAGGTATCATCCAGAGGCAGGTGGAGATTCCCTCTGGAGGCAAGCAGTTCCTTGATCATGAGTTTTGAGAGAGAGAGAGCAAGTTTCAGATGTTCCAGCTCTTCTCTCTCTCTCTGCATCTTCCTGATTACTGCTGCCCCCTCCTCCTGGGCAGTCCTTAACTTATATAGCCTTTATGACCTCATTTACATGGTCCAATGGAGGCCAGCACCTGTTGGCTGTCAGCCAATCAATTTGAAATGCATCACTAGTTGCTGGGCAGACTGGCAGTTCCTAGCTCCCCAGGAAACGCAAGCCCCTCACGCAGGTATGTGATGCCAGTCACGTAGGCAGAGGGAGCAGGTTCCTTCCTCCCTTAGGAATGTATCCAGCTCAGGTTACCTAAAGAGATAGGGTAAGTTGTGTACCCTTAGGGTAAGGTGTGTACCCTCTGCAAGGCCCATCTTAACCAAACGGTCACAGAGCAGAGTTTTGGGGGAGAAACAGGTAGCCTTCTGCCACGCATGTTTTTCCTATTGTTGGGAAATCTTTTTTATCAATCGCATCTTTTTATAAACTTTTTATCAATCACTTATTTCCTGCATACTGTTTTATTTTTGTTTTTTGGTGGTGTTTGGGTACCTAAGTAAAAATCCTGAATGAGCTGGGTATTTTGTCTGATATCGTTAAACAGTTTATTTAAACTTTATTTAAAAAGCAATGTCTATATAGGAGAGCTTTGCATAACATACATAGTATTGAAAAAGTCTTATATTGTGTCTGATATAAAATGTATTTTAGAGAAATAAAACAATGAAAACTTACTATTTATAAAGCATGTGTTGAAATAGGGCTAATCATATTTCAGGCATGTAAATTAAACAAAGTAAATGAAGATATCACTGTACTTATTCAAATACAACACGCAACTTTTTCTGAAAATTGGCTCCTGGAAAGAGGGGGTGTATCTCTTAAACAAGGAAATATGGGACCAGAGGGTTTGATCCTGTGGGAGGGAATCAAACTGCCTGGCTCCTCTTTCTGAGCCATGTGGGCACCCAGTGGTGCCTGTAGAGTCAGCTAAGGGCTCACCCAGCTCAAAAACGGGTCAGACGGTTCAGCTTTGGTGCAACTGGGCACTCAACTGACTCAGTCAGCAAGTGCTACTAGCTGAAATGACATCCCTAGCCTTTTTTCTCTTCTTATGCTGAGTTGGATGTAAAGTCAGCAGCACCTGCCAAATGACTCAGCTGAGTGCCCAGTTCTGATGGGATGAAACTGTCCAACCCCTGTTCTCAAGCAAGGTGGGTTCTCCACTGACTCTGCAATTCCTGCTGGCTAGGATCAGGCCCTCAGATGGCCTGGCAGGGTCAGCTTCCAGCACCTGTCTGTAGCAGGGCACTAAGGTGCCTGCTACTTGAAGAGCAGGAATGGCCACCAGGTGCCAGTTGCCAGGGCAACCAGGAGGAGCTAGGGGCCCACACCTGTTGAGTCAGCTGACCAGAAGGGGCAGGGCTGACTTCTATAAAGCACAGGCTGGAGGCCAAGAGAGGGGTTCTTGGTTGGCAGCCAAGGAGAAGGAGTGCTGCCTGACTAAGCAAAGGGGAAAGAACTGAATGAGAGCAGTCGGTTATGCTAATGAAGGATGGAGCACCTGCAAAGGGCAACTCAAAGGAGGCTAGCCGAGCAGTTTAGCTTTGTGTTATAGCCCAGGGGCTTGTGTTATTGTTTTGTTGTTGTTGTAAGACCAGAGGACTGGGTGAGACTATACAGGGATGGAGGAGGCCTCATAGGGGAACCACGTCATTGGACAGTGTGAGAAGCCCCAAGGGAGGGCAGTGCGAGAAGCCCTGAGAGAGAGAGGGCAGTGCAAGAAGGCATCTAATAAGACCGAAGAACGTCCAATACATACGCGAGGCTTGGGGCATGGTACAGGGGTGGTTGGAGCCACACAGAGCCCATAAGGCTGGGGAACACCTGAACCCCATTCGAGACTACAGGCCCAGTATAGGACAGGAGAACCATGACCAGGAAGACTAAAGGTAGCCTCCCTATAAGTCACATAAGACTAAAGACGTGGTGGGCGAGATTGTGAAGTGCAGATAGGCAGCTTGGCGCGGTATAGAGGGTAACTAAAGGGGAACACGGCAACCCCAAGTTCCTGTCCTGTGTCACTGTCCATGTCCTGCAGAGTTAACAAAGCAGACATGAGTTTTTGTCTCCCTGCCCTACTGCAGCTGCTTGTTTTCCCTACAAGAATACTGTGCTTGACAGTATGTTCAAGGAAAAATCCTTTTTTGTCTTCATTCCACCTTTCAAACACAAGTGTGCGGCTTGTTCAGGGTGGATGGGGAGGTATACAAGAAAATGCAGTAACTCTGTCTTGGTACATCTCTTTGTACAAAGTATAATATCAGTATTTTCTTCCTTTCTGTAGAATCAATTAATGATCACCACTTATGACACAATTGTGGAACTGATAGATCAATTGGAGGCCCTACGTTCTTCAGCATGGTCAAAAGGTTTTTAGCATCATCAAAGCAGGGCCCAATACATAATGACAAAACAAAGTTAAAAGAGATACACAAAACATTATGATGGGTGGGCAAGAGGCTGGCCACAACACATGAGTAATATTACAGAATTAAGTAGGCCACAAAATAACAAAGCATATTTCTTTTGTGTTCAATTTTCAGTGCATTTAGAAAAGAATGGCAAAGGTGGAGGAGATGATCTGGTTGATCCTCTTTTAAAGGAAGTAAGTGATTGGTTTCCACACTTCAGAAATTATAATTGTAGTGAATGGAATACATTATGCTCTATAATGTGACATGAAAGAAGATGCTCTACAAAGCAAATTGCTACTGTTGGGGATTCTTTGGCAAATCTCTGAGGGTTGATTCTGTTGTGTTTTGTGATCAGCAGTATGAAGCCCAACAGCTTTTATATAGTGTAAAATCAGTGTTGGGTAATTCTGTAATAATCTACCTAAGGCTGGGGAGGGGGTAAAAGAAACCTTCCCATGGCAAGCCTCATTGACTCTACGTGGTTTATTTTAGCATGGAAGCTTGAAAGAAACTGTCAAACTGTGTCCCACTGACATACTATGTGGCTTGACATCCTCACAAACACCTGTCTGCCATATAGCCCACAATAAGTGAAACCATGTTAAAGTGACTTCACACGACCTGCCTATAAGTCTGTAATTGCTTACAGGACTCAGAAGCATATAACCTAACAATAAAAATATTTAGATTTAGTTGTCCGTAAAAGAAGTCAAAAGCAAAACTTTTTGACAATTTTTGTTCTTACTAAAACATTGTCGTATGGGTTTATTTGTGTGCAAGTTTATGCAATTAATTGTGATACTGCACAGGATGCTGTCATTTAAGCCAACAAGATTACACTCAGTATAAAACAAATGAATGCAGAATTTTTTATTTCATTGTTGTTTTGGTGCACTTTGAGGTGAATCCAGAAAAGAAAGGCCTAAGGATAGAATTAGTGGATATACAAAAGATTCAGCAGCGGTGTTTGACAGATTGGACTTTTGCCGAACATCTTCAACCACATGTTCTTCTCCAGGTATTTATGAGCTGTTTTTTTACAGAAATAATGGCTTGGGGATAAGTAGGATACAGTGTGTTTCCCAGCTAGTCCAAGATCAGCTTTAGACCAGTTAGAAGGTGACCAAAGTCATTCAGTAACTTCAATAGTTTTTCAGGCTTTGGATACACTTTACTTTTGTAACACTATGTATGACCTTATAGTGTTACAAAAAATGAGTTTCCATATGTTCAGGCTGTTTGTGGTACTTATTATAAAGAAAGTGGGACTTACTATAAAGAAGATTATAAAAAAAGTAGATGTCACAAAAATGGTGTATCCACTGCAAAAAACTTATAGGGGTTGGATATGCTACTTCTATGTCTATCCTAAGCATTCATTTTTTTCAGGTCCTTCACAAAGCAACACAGCAGTATAGGTGCATTGATTCCTATCACCACACCCAAGATAACTCTCTGCTTATAGTCCTTCACAATCCCCAGAATAAACATCATCAGTGCTGGGAATCCTGGAATATTGCACTGCACTCAGACGTTGGATTCAGGTAGTATGTGTTTTTTTTAGATATTATCTTTAAACGGGCACTTCGGATTAAAGCTTAGTAATGGCAAAGGAACTTGATGTAGCAAGCATTTATGAAACATGGTGGCATAAAAAAATAGTGAGTTAACTCTAACATGGGACCATAAACTGGACAGGAAAAAATTATGAGGTAGGTCATAGAAAGGAAATAATGTACTGTATCTAAAACATTGCATTGAGTGATGGAAAAACATAGTAAATTTGTCTAACTACAAATCACAACTTGTAAGAATAAAAATATGCTACTAGGGCTATATTACTTTTCTTCACATCAGGAAAATGATATCAAGGACACTTTGTTGTAGAAGACCAAAGAGGCAACTAATGCTAACAAAAATATCATTATTGATAACTTTGACTTCCAATATACAAACAGGTCAAATGTTGCAATAGGAAAAGGTATAAGGACAAGTTCCATTTAATACCTTAAATAAGGGATCAGCAACTTATGGCCTGACAACAGGATCAACCTTTGGACCCACTGGAACCAGCCCACAGGTCTGGAGTGCTTCAGCAGCATTCCAGCAGCAGATGACTTTGGCAGAGCTACACCACAGCCAGGTGGTGGGGGACTATGGTGGTGGGGGCCTTTGCCTGTGCTGCACTGTAGCCAAGATTTTTCTTTGCCACAGCCAGGCAGCAGGAAGCTTTGCCCATGCCATTCCATAGCCAGGCCATGGGGAAAAGCAATGACCAGGTCCTAATGCAAGCCCACCTTCGACCTGAGCTGGATCATTCTGTCCTGCTGTTGCCCTGTGGGGGCTGGCCAACCCTCAGGATCTCAATATTGCGCTGTTGAACAGGAGGATGTGGTGTACAATTGAACATGCACACACTCAGAAATCAATTAGGTGCAGACACACACACTAGGTGCATATACACACTCTAGGTGCATGCACCCCCACCAGGCATGCACACGCACACTACCAATCCAGGCACATACACATCCAAAATTACCAGCCTAGGCAAATGCATGCCTATCAGCAATTCAAGTACCTACACACACTATACAGACCAAAAGAAATTAGACCAGAATCAATTATCAATACCTGCACACCCAATACACATACACAGATCACTAATTTGTATATCATGCACACAGTGACATACATGTATATCAGTTCACATACATACCAGTCACCTACATCTACACTCTAGTGAGTTCCTAATTTATGGTGTGTACGTATGTATGTGCTTGGAGGGAGGTTAAGGTAGAGAGAGAGAGAAAGTGTAGGGGGTGAAAGTTGCCAGGACCAGGATTAGAACCGGTAGACTTAGAGAGAGCTGGGTTTAGGAGCTGAGGCTTGGGGTTACTTCAGGTTACTGCTGGTGGAGACTGAGATGAAAGTTGCCAGTGCCAGGATTAGAACTGACAGATTGGAGAGGAAGTTGGGATAACTTAAGGTTAATTGGTGTTAATTGAAAGCAGAAAGTTGGCAGAGCAAAGGAGTGATGCTGGGGAGGAGCCTGGAGACTGGACTCAGAGCAAGGAGACTACACAGGAGCTGAGAGGTACGTGGGGAGAGGAAAACTGGGAGTAGGGCTGAGAGATTGCAGAAATCCACAGGGCTGAGAGGATGCAAAAGTGGCAGGAGCGGGGTTAACTGCTTGCAGAAAGCGACAGGGCTGAGAGATTGCAGAAAGGGGCAAAGAGGAGCTGAGAGGTGGCAGAAAAGGGAGACAGAATTGAGAGATCAGGAAAATGTGGGGAGGTGGGAGCCGGAGCTGAGAGAAACAGAGACTGGAATTTAAGATAGGGAAGGGACTGGAGCTTAGTAAAACACAACCCAACTTGGGGTTACAAATGACAGTGGTTTTATTGAACAGGGGAGATGGTGACACAATATTTCATTGGTTCCTTTGCGCACCCCCCCCCACACACACACACACACAGACAATGGCAGCAGGGGTTAAAGAGGCTTGGTGCAGGGACGCAAGTCTGGGAGGAGAGAGAGAGAGTCCAAATTGGAGGAGGAAATATGCAGGTGATATCTGCGTATCCCAGGCTGAAAGTGGGTCCTCAATGGCCAGTCGGGGTCTCCTTCAGCTCAAAGTTGTCCAGAGGGGGTTGCCGGCAGGGCCTCTGGGTGGATAGGCAGTGTGATGTGGAGCTGGTCTGATCCAGATGGAAATGGCATTCCCAAAGAGTCAGTCTTCACTACCCCTTTTATGGAGCAGACTACCTCTGATCTCCTATGGGGAGGGCCTGTCCAGGCAATGCCAGTCCTGTTCCAGAGGGTTCCAGATGTTCTTACTGAGCATGTGAAGACTGGCACAATGGTGGGTTGCCTCATCTTTTGTTTCTTGAATGCTGAGGGTGACACAACGAAATATTGTGTCCAGGTATTGGTGTTGCTAGTTCAGTCATTTAGAAGGAGCTATTTTTAAACCTACTGCCATTGTCTCTCAAGCACCCTCATTCATCCCCATTCATTCAGGAACCAAGTTACATAGGAGGGGTAGTGAGTCATGGGTTACACAACTGGGCATGGAGGCTTGACATTGCAAAGTGGAAACTTGACATGACTTACCCGAACTTAGGCCTAAAACAGTAATCATACAATATAAAAGCAATACAAACATAATAATTATCACTTGTAAAACAGTGGGTATTGGTATCAAAATAGGGCACCTATTTGCAAAGAGGAGAGAGGAAAATAAAACTTACTACCTAAAATAAAATGTTAAAGCTTATCCTATATCTTAGCTTACTTATAATTATCTATAGGGAATAGAGAGGGAGAAGAAAAGTCAGAAATAGTTGGGGAAGGGAAGGGAATGAATATCTATAGATATAAATATATAAAAGAGAAAGAAAGAGAGAAAAAAAAGAAACTGGGGAATTATTTTACACTGTCACAATAAAAGGTTGCCTTAAACAATTGCTTTTTGATCACAAAGTTTTTTGAGTCTTTGTCCCAGTGGGAATTCTACTGATGATAACTTTTTGAAAATCTCCAGGACAGGAGGTTTTGCCAGTAATATCCATTTGGTCTTCCTATTCACTGTAGCCATGAGCCATAGAGTAGGAGTGGGTAATTATTTCAGCTGGAGGGCCACGTAATGAGTTTTGGGGACCTTTCAAGAGCCACATCCATCTCTGTCTCTAGTTCTTCTTTCAGTCTCCTCTCCTCTCCTGTCCTCTCCTGGCTCTGGCTCTGGCACACCCTACAAAAAGGCGTCACCAACACTGTTGGCAGCTCCTGTGGGCGGTCACCATTCGCCGCCACCCCTTTCCACCAACACCACTGGTGGCATCTATGGGCAGTCAGCAATCGCTGCTGGCTGCTGATGATGCTGCCAATGCCATCTGTGGGTGGTTGCCGACCCCTGGTCGGCACTCGCCACCCCCCACCCGCCGCCAACAGTGCCGGAAGCATCTGTGGGAGCTCCCCGCTTACAGCCACTGGAGGCACATGTCATTCATGGCTCTGGCTCTGTCAAAGACTCTGGCTCTCTGTCCCTCCATTTTCCTCTGTCTTAAGATCAAGCACTTGAGGACCTCAGTCTACTATCCCCAGACCGACACACTAGTTGAACGTTTCAGTGGGACTCTGAAAAATATGCTTCACCACTTCCAGGAAGGCCCTAAGACATAGGACCTTTTAGTGCCTCCATTGCTCTTTACAATTAGGAAGGCTCCCCAGGTCTCTTTGGGCTATGCTTCTTTCGATGTGATATATGAGCATTCTCCTTGTAGTTTGCTAGACCTGGTACGGGAAGGGTGGGAGACTGACAAAGAGGTCAGGATGGACACCTCTTGCTATGTGAGCTCATTATCTGTCGATTCCAAGGGCAGGCTGTTCAGGACAACAGACATGTCACCCTCAGCCAAAGCAGCCATATGTTTCATGAACTGTTCCTTTTCCAACTTCCATTGGCACGCATGGTTTTCAAAGTTTCTTAGGCACACTTCTGGATCATCCCCATCTTTGTAGCGAGAGAACACTGAGGTTTTCAGTCTGGGGGACGCAGCAGGTGCCAGCTGAGGTGAATCAATCTGGCTTCCAGTTTCATGCTGCCTTTGAAGTAGTTCAAGTGCATGCTCGTGTTTGAGCCTTGCCTCTTCGGCCCCCGCCATGCGCTGGGCCTCCCTCTCTTCATGCTGCTACTGGGCATCTCTAGCCTCATGCTTGCACTGTGCTTCCCTCATTGACAGTTCCATCTTAAGCAACTCTAGCTCGAGCTTATGCACCTGCACTGGGCTTCTTGAGCTTCCAGCACCAGCCTGTATCTCTGGAGGTCCAACCCATGGGTTGGAGAAGGGGGTCATTCCTCAGGCATTTCTAGCTCAGGGGGGTTCCCCTCCCAGTGGCTTGTTGGGAAGAGTGGTTCCATCATCTCCACTCCCACTCAGAACCAGGATGTGCACTTCCCTGGTTTGCTAATAGTCCAGCAGGACTTCAATCAGGTCCTGTCTTTTTTGCCTTCTTTTTCTTTGGATGCCTATCTCCTTCAGCTTCTCCACCAATTGGTCCATGGTCAGGTGGTCATACTTGTCAGTCGTCCTAGCTATCTATACTGTCCAGTTGACCTGATGCCAAATTAGAGATTGTTTGCTCAAGGGTTTTCAGTGACTCTATAACCTTCCCCAAATTATGCCTTCAAGGTAGCAGGTTGCCTGATCCCACCTCTACCACCATGTGTGGTGGGCCAGTAGGGCATGCTTCTGTGTTGAGCCACCCACCTCACTGTGCATGGCCAACTTCCAGGCTCCAAGTGCCCCCCTGGGGGTGCCTCACGTCCAGCCAACCCACTTCCTGGAGCACACCCACAAGCCTGGGGGTAATGCCACCACCACCCAGAGTCTGGACTGATCCTGGACCTGCGTCCTCTGGGAAACACAGGGCTAGTAGTCCTTGAGGGTACTTGACCTGCTGCAAGAACTTGGGGTGCTTCCTTCAGTCTGAAGCGCAAATAGTGGTCTCCCTTAGTCAGTCAAACCAAGGGGGACCCCAAGGC